GTTATACAGCCCAGTGCGTAGGACATATAAACCCTGTTGTTTTGGTGATTAGGGTTAATCGTGGATTGTACAGCCGCTCTCTGTATTCAACTCTCTCAATAGTGAAATCCCTGCAGCTTCGTGGACGTAGGCAAATTGCCGAACCACGTAAAATCTGTGTCTTGTTCTTTCTTGTTTCTTATTGCTTTATATTCTTGATTTGTTCTTCGATTGTGTGTGTTTGTTAGTTGATTTAAATCGTGTGAAATCCCAACAAGAAATTTGATTATGTCAACTATATATTTGTTATATATAATTGCAACTAGATTACTATGAATTGAACACATATTTATTACGATGGGACGTAAATGCAACGTCAACCTAAGATCACGATACGATTCATCGTCATCCATGAGTTAGTTTGTCCCGTCACTTGAAAGCCCGTTATTACAATGTATGTATATGTAGGTTATCTTTTTTGCTCAACCTAAATGAAATGGCCCACCAAAGTTTTAAAAGTTATTATTATTCGAATATAAGAAATTAAAGATTAAAATTTAGTTACAACTCGATTAAACATAGCATATTAACTAGTGGGTCTGACTAGCCAAGCCCATGACCAATTAGAGACCTTTGGATATATAGAACCGTTGAATTAAAATTTCAATATAAAGCGAAAAATCAGTCACATTATAACTCACACTGCAACGGCGTCTAAACAAGATATAAATATAATTGACCCTCAAAGCTGAAATGATTCGAAATATTTTTTGCAGTTAGTTGAATGAACTCAAGGCTGTGTTTGTCATAATTTATAGGTTTATATATATTTTTTTGGTAATTAAACAAATCTTATTGATAGGAATTAAACTGTTACAAGGAAAAGGGAAAATAGTAAAAACCCTTTAAAAGAAATATTCAACCTAAGTTATAGGTTTATAAATGCCATCAACGACCTTTATTCCTGGAGCTTTAGACTTTCAGTAGTTGATGCTTTTAAATTTAACCATGCTGGCTACTTCTTTCATGATTTGAGGACAAATGATGATTAGTGAAAGTCAATTATATTAAAAATAGGGGCTTCCTATCATTGAAAATATGATTCATTGAATGGTGTTTTTTATTTTCCACCAAAAGCTATAACCACATATCTATCTAGACATAGAATGAACAAGTTCACCACAAGTTTGAATAATTTAGCTTTTGTAGACAATTTCAATTATCTATTTTGGTACCTATTCAACATATATAAAAACCAAAAAATAAAAAAATTTACCGAGTGCATCAGANATTTCAAAAGGATAAATCTATCTAATATTACAGCGAAAAAGTTTGAATTTTTAAAAGCACAACAACGGTCATAATTAATTAAAATTTCATCTACTTTGATCAAATTGTACAAAATTTATCTTAATTTATCTACACGGTCCCAATGCCAGACAACATCTAGTACACTCCCTAATGTCTGACAACCCCAATAATTCACATATATCTCTCTTTTATCTGTCCTTTACCTCTTTCTTATTTTTTCTTTATTCACTTTGACTTTATATTTCGTAATTTAAAAAAATAAAATAAACGACTATTTTAAATATAAATGTTGGATGATTAATATTCAATTTTTGGTATTGCAGAGTATTTTTAGATACGGATCATTATTGGTATATACTAGTTTCTTTGTTAGCTAGATTATTTGTATGTCATTATACCAACGAAGTTAATATCAGAGGTGTGTTAGTTCAGAGTTCGAACAAATAATGAGGTGTAATCCACAACTCCTTAGTCCTAAGTACGAGTTTCTTGGTTAAGCATAGGGATTTAACCGATGCCTATCTTTTGTGAGTGATTACGTGCATTTAAAATTTGTGTTGGAGTCACGAGTATAAAAGTTACAAACATTAAAACTAATTTATTTTCCATAATATTTATATAAAGCTTACTTGAAAAGAAACCGAGTCTCTAGCAGCTAAAGCGACAATATCTGCACAGGATACTACTCCAGGACAAGTATTCTCAAGTTGGGTCTTTATTTCATCAATAACGTCGAAGCCTGCCAGTGTTAGGTTTGGAATTGCATCCTTCTCAGCTGTGTTATTTGCTGTGGAGTTAACCAATACAGAGGCATCACATCCCTAGAAAACCAACCACCATAGAAGCATTTAGAAACAAAAAATTGTATGAAGAGATTGCACAAGTGCGGAAACTAGGCATGACTCGTGAACCTAACATGAAACCAATACGTATTAGGTGTTAAACAAATTTTAACACAATACGAACCCGACATGACATGATTCATTGACAGTCTAGAAATCTATAAAAAATGGTTTTTTGCAAGCGTTGTAACCTAGATAATTTGGCTATTTGTTTAAAGGTATGAAAGCATGCATATATATATGATTGGTTCACGCATAGAGTAGAAATGCTTTTACCCTAACAAAACAGTCATGGAAATGCATCCTCAGAAACTTAGCAGGCAATGTTGAATTGCTAGCAACATGTTTCCATGTAATGTTTTGAACAATCTGCTCGGCTTGGGGACAACTACTTTTGTAGAAATTCTTTCTCAGCGCACCCCCATTGCAGACTCCTAACACTCCAAAAACAACTAGTATAGCAATCAAGAAATTGAAACTCTTCATCTCTGTGTGTGTGTG